CTGAAACTTGGCTATTTGAGTAACGAGAAAATAGCCACTTACTTTCCCCAGGACAGTGGTTCTCAATCATGGCTATGTGTTTCTCCAGGAAAACTTTAAAAATATATATACACCAATGCTTCTGTGTCACTTCTAGAGATTACAAGTCTTTAAATAGGAACTCAGCAATAGTATCCTTTAATTCTCCAGGTGATTTTCATGTGAAACCATGACTGAGCCCCACTGCCCTAAGATGAAATAAACTTTCTTCAGCACTGAAATCACAAACTTAAACTACCAAAATTAATTAAGGGCATGGGAATCAACAAGGCATAGGTAAACTTTTACATTATAAAATTATTTTTTTTAAATCACAGCTCATTGTTTATATGTTATTTACCATTGTAGAAAAGGGTGAAAAGATAGCAAATTTAGTTACTCTCTGTTTGAAAAATTATCCAGAAATGAAGATGACTTCTCTGAAACATTGTCAATATCATTTTATTTATAAACAATGTTATAATACATTTACTACATACTGATACATACCTTTTCATATGAATATTATACATTAAAACTAAGGAAATAATGATTTAGAACATTCTATCCATATCTATATATCTACAGTAGGCTAGAAAATAAGATATGAGTTATTAAATATGAGATGTTAAGGTTTGGGGGCAGAAATTATACTGTACTTCATTATCAATAATCAACATATACTTCAAAAGACTTAGTAAAGGTAGTTCTTTTCAATTTGTATTATTAACACCATCCAGTATTGCATATTCTGAGCATTTTACTCATTTACTTTAATTTGTACATCTTTAATTATTTTGAATTATGTATATAAATATAAGTACACACACCTTTATATATTTATTTACTCATACCTCCATTCACTTCTTTATATAGGGGATCCCCCAAATCCATTACCGTTAAGCCATACATTTTTATTTTAATCTTTAGAACAAGCCCAGGAGGCAGGTATTGTTATTACTCACATTTTACAAATGAGGATATTGTCTACAGTCACAAAGTTACTGTATCAGAAATATTAGAAGCTTAATACATATTTGGTGAACATATGCATAAAAACAGAGAGACATGTACAACAGCTCATCTTTATACTGAGTATAAACTTTTAATCTGGCTTAGAAATCTCTCTGTGAAAACTGAGCAAAACTCTAGGTATCCTTTTGTTTGTCATATAGGTATAGGTGGTACCTTAGTTCTCCAACAAGGATGAGTATTAAAATATGGATCCCAGGGCCCAACTCCAGATTTTCGGAATCCCTGATAGTGGGACTTGGAATTTGTCTATTCTTTCAGAGTTTCTCACGGTATTCATATGATCAACCAGGTTCAGAAATCACTGGATCTTATTGCTGAAGTTTGAGAATTAACATTTGGGCCTTACTGCTGCTCCACAGAAAGGGCAGACAAAGAAGTATCATGGACAGAACTGATACGTTCCCAGTTAGCTTCCTCTCTCAGAAGCTAACAGGCAGCAATACAGAAGAAATTAGTGACTTTTGTCTTGTGCTCTGAAGTCAGGCAGAATTTCACAGAGTCCCAGCAGTGTCACTGACTAGATTTGTTTCATGGGGCAAGTTGCCTGATGCTTTCAAAGCCATATTCCTTTTCTGTAAAATGAGATAACAGTATTCTTTGTCTCATAGGGGTGTTTTAAAGATTAAATAAAAATAACATGTTATATCCTCCATGGCACAATGCCTGACACCTAAGAAGCAAAGGATACATCTTACCTTTATTGAAACAATCAGAATGTACGAAATCATGAAGAAGATAGAGTTCTGACTGGCAGTGTATCTTATTTTCCCAGGTTCATTTATTTATCTTAAACTATTCTTGTTGAAGAATAACTTCCAAACCCCCGACTTAAGCTGTGAGTAATCTCACCCTTTATATTGATGTTCTTTCCATGAGAAAAAAACAAAATGTTTTTAAGTTTTCTGGAGAAAATATCTCTGAGCTATTTCTACTGGAAAATCTTAACAACTGGACTCTACCCCTCTGCATCAATTCTAGAGTGTGTATGCCACAAATAAAGTATCCTAGCTCAAGAAGATTGAAAATAAATATGGTATAGTATTTTAAAATAAGAATTTTGCAAATGCACGGTACGTTTGTGTCGTATTACTAGTAATCATATAATACACAATGCAAAGTACAATTCATAAACTTAAATTTAATTCTAATATGTAAACCGATTTCACCTTGTTGGGGAAAAGTTAAAGCACTAATCCAATTGCTAATGCAGTCTTGTCTACTTGTTTGGTACCTAGTGACGAGTCTAAATAATGTATATATTTTTATTTACATATTCAATAATACAATTCTCTGCTCAATGAGTGATGTTCTTCTGCCACTTGGTGGTGCTTGCCAGTTTCAGAATTTGTTTCTTGGTGGCACTATAACACTAAGTACATACTAAGTGCAATAAAATTGCAGCATTCCCATTGAAAAGGCTTTGCTTCACACTGTTTAATAATTTAAAGGACCTCTGTGGAAGCAACTGCTTTTGTTAACCAGTCACAACCAGTAATTAACTCCTTTGGAGTTTTAACTTACTTTCGGCAAAACGTCTTAGGAAGAGTATATATTATTAGAAAGTATGCCAAAAATTTACTTAGCAGAAAATTCAAAAAGAGTTTTCCTCTGCTAAGAGGTTCTGTAAAATTCTACTTATATAGCCAAGCTCTGAAATCCTAGCAGGTCCTGTTTCATTATCGTAATTACTGCATAAACACATTTAAGGACTTTGCCTTTAGTTTCAAGCATGACTTATTTTCATAAGCTTGATTAGTTACCACACCATCTTTGCTATGGAAAATGACATGTTCTCACTCTGTGCTGTAGAGTTGTTAAATCTTGATCTATATTTATGTTTCCTTCTTTGCTGAAAGCCTGTAGCGAAAGAAATCTCTAATTCCTTGTTTTGCAATATTAGTTGGCAGTTCTATCTAATGGGTATTCCGTTTCCTTAAAGAATTTAGCTGCTCTGTCTAGAAGCCGATTTTCTGATGCCTCCAACGTCTGGTCAAATTGATCTGTTTTAATGGAGTCTTCGTCGGTGAGGAGCGAGATGCCACCGACTAGAATGCTGGGATCTGCTGCTTAATTGCCAGGAGTGAGAGACACTGAGATTCAGAAATCTTTGGAGGTGGGAGGGGAAGGGGACAGTCTCGGACGGAGGCGGAGATGTAAGATAAAGGGATGGATTTCACACAGGAAAAAAAAAGGAGATTTCTTTGAGGCACTGAGGTGCTGCACGATCACATCTCTCAAAGGAGAAGTTAAAAAGCGAGGAAGTGGGAGGAGGTTGGAGGTTAAAGTACTTAAAAGGATTACTCGGGTACAATTTGTTTTTCTGGTGGTGTCTGCAAAGGATAGATAGTCCCATTTTCAAAGTATGTTAATGCCTCTTTTAAGTGATTGGGAATGGACACTAATTGCCTGTTAAATGTTATTAAATGCTCTCCTAAATTCAGAGGACACAGAAAGAGGGGCACAAAAGGAAAATTTAAATAGAGAGAAAAAGGGAGGATCTGGAGGCTTTTGAAAACTGGGGGAGAAGAAGGAGGAAGAATAAAAGAGAGGAATAGAGGAGAGCGGAGAGAAGAAGGAATAAAAACCAGGAATCACTGAATAATCACACACAAAAAAGAAAACTCTTCCATGTGGGGCCTCCAAAACACTGAGACTGCAATAGTGACCCCGGTCACGGAAGAAAGATGCTCCTCTCCACCCTTGTCCCGGAAAGCTCTCGGTCCCGTTACTGGCGACTAAAATTCCATTAGGCTAAAGAGTGTGTCTAACTGCCTGAAGAATGCAGCAGGCGGAAGGCGGGTCCCGCTATGCCGTTTGCCCTGTGCCCGCTGGAGCGAAGGAAAGAAACGCGCAGAGCCAGAGACTCCTGCCGAGTTAGACCTTCTCTCGTCGCCCCAGGTCACCGGTCATCCGGCAAAGACCTGCGTAAGGCACGCAGGGCCATTGCCTGAGCCAAAAAACAGAGCCCGCTCTCCCCTTCCGGGACGCCGCTTCCTGGCGGATGCTCCCGGCAACCTACCCGCGGTGTATGCGGAGGAGCCTTTCTCTTCCTCTCAGACCACTTGTCCCGCCCAAATCTGACCTTCCAAACACATCTGACCGCACCTCCCAGGTGGACACACGAATAGGCTACGGGCTGGAGAGGAGCCGGTGATGGAGAGAGGGATTCAAACCTGCGGCCGCTCGGGCTGGGTCGGAGCTGCGGGGGGCCTGGGAGGAGAGAGGGGAGAAGAGAGAAGGAAGGAGAGCGCCTGCCGGGATGGCTGAGCTGGCTCGGGGAGCAGCCTTGGGGTTGCAGGCTCTTGTGGGAGATGCTGCTGCTGCTTCCAGGCCGGCCAGAGCGGTTCTAACACCATCGCCTCTCACCCTCTCCTCCCTGCAAATCCCTAGAAAAACGTTCCTGGCCTCTCCGCGGCGACATTCTCAGCCTGCATCCCCCTACAGTCTAGGCGGCGCGCTCCCGCACGCTGGAGCACTGGGCGCCAGCGGGACGCCCTCTCCCGCACCGGCTCGCCCCTCTCTGCCCTGCTGCTGCTGCTCCTATGACACCTCCGCCCCCACCATCTCCAGCTCGGAGAGACGCCTCCCAGCCGCGGCCGGTGCTCGCTGCCCCGGGTCACGCGGGGAAGAGAGGCGCTAGTCCGCACCCCGCCCTCGGTAGGGGGCGTCCTGGAGCGGAGAGTGAGGCTAGTGGTATATGAGTATGCGGGTAGCCCACCATGAAGCCCGAGCTTCTCACTTGAGCCAGCCCCGCCTAGCCCCACTAGGGCCGGCGCCCGGCGAGCGAGCCCATCTGTGGCTTCCGCGGCCGCCTCCTCCTTGCATCCTTGCACCTCCTCGTCGACCCCTCCCTCCCGGGACCTGCATCCTGCTCCACCAATCAGAGTCCGACTGCCTCTTCCCACGTGACCCCGGGCGGGCTGAGGACCTGCTGCTTCCCAAACGCCAGAGGGATGCGGGCGGCAGAGCTTGATAGGCGGCTGCCGGGCTTCGGGGCGCCTTGACTCTCCCTCCACCCTGCCTCCTCGGGCTCCGCTCCTCTGCCCCTGGACTCCCGTCTCCTCCTGTCCCCCGGCTTCCCAGAGTTCCCTCCTTATGGCAGCAGCTTCCCGCGTCTCCGGCGCAGCTTCTCAGCAGACGACCCTCTCGCTCCCGGGGCTGAGCCCAGTCCCTGGATGTTGCTGAAACTCTCGAGATCATGCGCGGGTTTGGCTGCTGCTTCCCCGCCGGGTGCCACTGCCACCGCCGCCGCTTCTGCTGCCGCCGTCCGCGGGATGCTCAGTAGTCCGCTGCCCGGCCCCCGCGATCCTGTGTTCCTCGGAAGCCGTTTGCTGCTGCAGAGTTGCGCGAACTAGTCATGGTGCTGTGGGAGTCCCCGCGGCAGTGCAGCAGCTGGACACTTTGCGAGGGCTTTTGCTGGCTGCTGCTGCTGCCCGTCATGCTACTCATCGTAGCCCGCCCGGTGAAGCTCGCTGCTTTCCCTACCTCCTTAAGTGACTGCCAAACGCCCACCGGCTGGAATTGCTCTGGTAAGTCCAGAACCCCCGTCCCCGACCCCTTAACCCCGCAGAAGAACACGCGTATCCAGCACAGACCAGCCTACCCTAGCGCGCCTCCTCAGCCCCTCACCTCCTACTGCCCTAGACTTCTAAGACCACCCACCTCTATCCAGAGAAACACGGAGAACTGTTCCAGGCCCGGAGGTGGGGGGTAGTTCTGGGATGGGTAGAAAGTGCAGGTGTAGCAGAAAACCTTTGCTTGCTCGCGCTTACATTGGAGCTGAGAGAATTTTGAGAAATATTAAACGGGATGGTTTTCTGGGTTCACTGGAAAGAACACCAATCCCAGGGGAAACACAAAAAGAGAAGCTTTGTCATCATTAAAGAAAAAAGTCTTACTAGGATAAGGAAGAAATAACTTTATGAGAAAGAATGAGCGAGAAAGCAATAAATCAAATGGTGACTGCAGGGGAATCGCTGATTCCTGGCAAAGGTGCCATGAGGGCGCACGGGTCTCCCATTCAAGACCAGGTCACACAGATTCTAAAGGAGCTGGATTTCAATATAATCAATTTCTCTCTCTCTCTCCCTCTCTCTCTCTCTCTCTCTCTCTCTCTCTCTCTCTCTCTCTTCCTCCTTCTCTCCTAGGCGACAAAAAACATTGGTTTTGCATTCCAGTTATGCCCCTCTCTTGCTTCCCTAAGCCTTCCCTCTACCCTAGTAGAGGGAAGTTGAGAAAAAGAACACTTTGCGGGTCTCCCAGGCTGGAGTGGGCATAACTGAGGCTGGTCAGGTTCCGTGTAGGCTAGCCGAGGGCGGAACCGACCTCAGTGGGCGCTGACTCCTCCATTTCTGGACAGGCTTCCGTGGAGTGGGTCAAGCACTCTTCTTGCTCCCTTGGGTTCCTTCAGATTCTGACGGCAAGAGCTTGGCAGGCTTCGCTCTGCTGAAGCTTCTTAATTAAATAGGGCCAGAGAATGGGGTTGCTGCACTCCTAGCTGGCATAGCATTTCGGTTTGACAGCCTGTAGTATACTGGGCAGAATTGTGGTGTAATTTCCTTGGCATTTTAAACTCCGTTAACATGCCTGGGTATTGTCCCCTAGGTGTGGTCTGTTCTAGTTTTAGCAAGTGTGTATGTAATTTTTCATCTTCTGTAAATATAATTTTGCTATAGTTAAATCTGGCTGTGAATAAAGTGGCTTTAAGGATGTATGTGAGCTGAAGTGTATGTAACTTTAGAGAGGAGGGAATGACCAACTGTAACTCATAGGGTGAAAGCCTGTATAGTTCCTAGTTATTGCTACTGTAAATGCCAAAAGGAAAATTATTATGCATCCTTCTAATTTATCCTTTACAAAGACAAGTTGAGATTTGCAACCCTATTAGATTTGGGTCAATAGATTGTTCTGTTTTTTTGGCAGTTTCTAAATTTGGCATTTTAATAAAACTCAACATGTTTCTGTAACTTCTTGATTCATGCATACATGTGTGTTGTTTTTGAAAGAATAAGTTTCACTTTGCTTTGCCTAATCACTTTTTAGATGCTTTATTATAGTAATAATTTTGAGTCTGCAAAATCAGTTTTTGGAAATGTTGATGGCTTTGTAGTCCAACACAGACTGGTTTGCTTCATTCCCAGCCCTTGCATTGTTTTAGGAAATAGCTAACTTAAATGTGAAGTTGACATTTGCAATCAAGAAATTCAATATTTGCCAGATATTTTAAAGGGGACGGCATAAACTAAAGAGAATAAACTGGTTTTGCAGATAGGTTGTCAAGAACTTGGCACCCCGCTCCCACCCCTGTTAACTTAGAGGTGATCAATCTTCATTTGAGCCAAACAGACCATCACAGAAAACACTGTGCCTGTTTATCTTTATTATTGAGGCTTTGTTTCCTCTTTGTCTGGATAAATTTCAAATAAGGGTTTGTTTCAGTCCTTGAAGCAAAAGAACAATTAAAGATGGGGAAGTGGTAAAAGGGCATTCAGAGATCATCACTAGCTCTTTTCCAAAATGTGGAGTTTTGTGGTCATAAATATTGTCCACCTAATAAGCAAAAAAAAAAAAAAAAAAAAAAAAAAAAAACACAGGAAGCAAATGTTAAGCACCACTGTCAATATTAATGAAGCCTTAAAAAATAGCACTGTCAGAAAAGGATATTAAAGGAGAATTGACTAGAAAAGAATTGTGGAAAATGGAAACGAATATTGATCACTTAACTAGATTTTGAGGTTATCAGTAGATGGTGACCTTGCAGTACAGCTATAGTTGTTGGATTTAAAATTTAGAACAAGTATTTTAAAGCTTCAAGTTAGTGTTTTTTGTTAAAAATCTGTAACATGTTTTAATGACTGGAGTGTTCTCTTTAAATTTGAGGTTATGATGACAGAGAAAATGATCTCTTCCTCTGTGACACCAACACCTGTAAATTTGATGGGGAATGTTTAAGAATTGGAGACACTGTGACTTGCGTCTGTCAGTTCAAGGTAAGAAGTCTTATATTTGCATCTTCTAATTCATTAATGAGACTGCAAAGCAGGGATCTCCCTTTACAGCCTATCACTTGGAAATTTATAGCTATGCAAGCTAAGAGGGAAGCTGGCACCAAGCAAAAGTACTAGCAAGAGAGCCAACTGATGTCAAGAAGACATATACTTTTTGGAGAAATGTATATGCCAAAGTTATAAATGCCACTGAAGGTAGAAAGCTTCAGGTTGTGCTTTTGGGATGTCAAAGGAAAATTATGTTTCTCTGACCCTTCTAGCATCATTTTAAAAGTGAATTGACTGGGCATAATAGTCAAAGTAGGGGGTAAAAAGTGTGAACTTGTGCTTTTGTTCTTTTTGATGGGAACTATCATCTTTTTATCTTATTGCTATCTGTTTTAATGCTCTTGGCCTTTATTGCCCTTGCAACCTGACTAGGTTTTTAAGTTAACTCCTTATTAGTGTAACTTCAAAACTTTGTTCTAATTTGGAAATCATGAAACTTATTAATTAATATGTGTCAGCTTTTTCATAGGTACCACCCTCAATTAGAACTGAATCCCCTAGGAATCCAAAAGAGCATTTAGATCCACAAGTTATTTTATGAACATCAGGAAGATGTATTTTTTCTTGTGTTAATTTATTTTAAGTAACAAAGCTGGCATCATCAAAACTAGGTTACTGGTATATATTAAAGATAGAACTTTTAATGTCATTAGGATGCTCATTAGCTAACAAATGCTTTCCACCATGTAAGTTATAAACTTTTTCCTCTCAAAATGTTCATATAATCATGTAGAACTTCAAGTAGCATGGGTGTTGTACCAATAGCCTATATTTGCCCTTGAGCATTTTAAATTACTTTTAAAAATACTTTTAAAATCCGACAGTATGACTCAACCGGGAAATATGCACATAAACAAAAGTACATGTGAGATAAGGGAAACTTTTCTAAGAATAAAAAAATATAGAACAAATAAAGACATTAAACTCAAATTTAGACCTAGATATCTGGTTTAATAGGTAATATTTAGAATTATTGATGAAATTTAAATATTTTAGATTGAATTTGACCTCCCACTAGAAAGAGAATTCACATTTAAATAAAGTTTAAGTGGCTTTTAGAAATGCTAAAACCTTCTTAGACATTATTTTCTTCTTTCTAAGAAACATAATATGACAACTGATATTTGTAAAGTGCACCACCTCCTGGTGGGTGAGTACTGCTCTGACTGTACAGTTTTTTAGACCATACCATAGTGTCAGAAACATATTCATGCATATTTAATATGCATGTAACATCAACTTCTAAGGTCTCCAGCCACATTAAACAATGTCATTATGTACTTTCAATGAACTACATGAGAGAGATAGAGCATGAGAACTCCCCAATTCATACTTAACCAAATGTTAACTAAACAGGAAAAAAGCACAATTGGATAAATCATTAATTAAAGGCCCAGAGAATTTTGTGAATTTTTCCTTCTTTCCCTTTTTGATTTCCATAAATTTGTCTTATTTTCATAACCATAGATAGACAAAAGAAATGAACTCATAAAAAATATCAAATGAACCAGGAAAAGCATTCCTGAAGTGTAAAGCCATGGTTCTAAGATTTCACCAGGAGAAAAAAAAAGGGGGGGGTTGACAGAACTCTAAAGGAACAGAACTGTAAAGCTGCAAAATGAAAATAAATAATCTTCTTGTTAAAGGAATTGTTTTCATTTTATACGTGCTAGGGAAGATTTTGGTAAAACTTTTATCAACAAAAATATGTGTGTCTTTCATACATTGGTCAGTCAGCTATGTTTAGCATTAATTTAAATAATTGTTAAGTGGAATCGATGGGGGAGTGGCATCGAATGCAAGTTTGAGTAAAAAACTAAAATATAAATTTGCTTTTTGTAATCCTCGTGGCATTTGAAATGTACTAGTGTATTACTACTGCTATTAGTTTGTGCTTTGCAATAGTTGTCAATCTGGCAAGAAAAAATAAACATCTCCCTAGTGGAAAATGTAGACTTTGCACATACCAAGAATATAGAGTGGCTGAATTAAATTGAAGATCAAAGAAAAGTATAAGTTGCATGAAGAATAATAAATAGGATATTTTAAGCTAAGAGTCTCTTGAGTCCATCTTCTCCAATACATGAATTTGAGTTTTTTGGTGTTTGTTATTTTAGCCCTAGTATCTGATAAAAAGGGAGAGGTATTGAAAATCTATTTTCCTATGTATTATTCTAAACTTCTGTTTCTTTCTCTGCTGCCTTTTCAGGTACAAGCAAGCATTCCTCTTTTTTTTTTTTTTTTTTTTTTTTTTTGGAATCTTTGGAGACAAGAGTCTTGCTGTGTCGCCCAGGCTGGATAGTAGTGGTGCGCTCTTGGCTCACTGCAACCTCCACCTCCTGGGTCTCCCAGCGATTCTTGTGCCTCTGCCTCCCGAGTAGCTGGGAATACAGGTCACTCCACCATTCTCAGCTAATTTTTTTGTATTTTAGTAGAGACGCGGTTTCACCATGTTACCCAGGCTGGTCTCAAACTCCTGCGCTCAGGAGATCCACCTGCCTCTGTCTCCCAAAGTGCTAGGATTACAGGCATGAGCCACGGCACCCAGCCTGCAGTCTATAGTCTTTCTAGCTGAGAGATAAATTTTAAAGAGAAATGGGCATATATTTTTATATCTATAATGTTTACAGTTTGCCTTATCACTGGAACACTAAAGTAAACATTATTGTCTTCACCTCTCTTAGATGATTTTAAATAAATTGATTTCTATCCTTCAAACATATTATCTCATTTATTTCTCACAACTCAGTGAGATGATTGTTTTCTCTCCCCTTTTTAAAACTTTTATTTTAGGTTTGGGGGTACATGTGAAGGTTTATTACATATGTAAACACGTGTCATGGGGGTTTGTTGTACATATTATTTCATCACCCAGGTATTAAGCCCAGTAAGTATGAGGATGAAAATTTGGAGACAGTAAATGGATAGACAGACAGATAGGTAGGTAGGTAGGTAGGTAGTTAGGTAGGTAGGTAGATAGATAGATAAGAATAAAAGTGGGGAGGAAGGAAGGGAGGGAGGCAGAAAGTGAGGGAAAAAAGAAGGGAGATACATGTAGATATTTATAGATAGCCCTGGTCATGCAATGATCAATAACTACTTTATAATTTAAAAATATTATGAAGCCTTATGTTTTTCAGGTATTACCTAATTCAAATACTAAATTTTTTTTTAATAAGTCATGCTTTAGATCTAAAATTTTCTTATTACTAAGGCTGTGTAACAGACTGCCCAGCGCTTAGTGGCTTAAGACAATGAATATTTATTTTGTTCATGAATCTGCCATTTTGGCAGGGCTTAATCAAAACAGCTCACCTCTACTCTCTTTGGCGTTAGCTGATGGTGAGGGGAGGGAATTCAAAGGCTTGGTGCTATACTGATCTGAGGGTTCTCACTCATATGTCAGACTGTCAGCTGAAGACCTTCTTCTTCTCCATGTTGATCTCTTTGCATGGGCAAGTTTTGTCTTCCTCATAGCATAGTGGCTGAGTTTCAAAGTCAAGCATCCAGAGAGAAAGAAAGAGCCAGGTAGAAGCTATATCCTTTAGTGACCTAGCCTGGGAAGGCACACAGAGTCATTTCCACCATAGTCACAGGCCTGTCCACTCTTAAAATCATAATTTTTTTTACATTTAAGGAAATATAAATCACAGAAAAGTAAAAATTACTTATGGAATGGCCAAAGGATTGGAACATATGCAGATTTTTAAAATCTTTTTTCCTTTTTGGAAGAAAAATATACCATATCCCAAGCCATTCTTCTTAAGCCTTTGACAACTGGGAATATAACAGAATTGACTTAACATCTGTTGAGCACCTTCTACATGCCAGACTCTGTGGAAGGGGCTGGCAATATATAAAAACATAAGTCATACGTAAGCTTCTAGATGCTGAAATCTCAGCTCCAAAAACCTATATTAATCAAATAAGCAATAAATCCTATGAAAAACTTCTCACATAATTTTTATTAATTTGTAGCAAAAATGAATTTCATACATTCCAGTGTGTCAAGTTATTGACCCCACTAGTGTGGGGGTTAGCCCATTTTGGAACAAAATTCTTCTATTGAAAAACACTTGTTTGGAAAATAAACATAAGATTTTAAAACATAGAAAAATAGAATCACTTTTCCCCCTGAGAGGAAGTTTGTACAACACATACATTTATGGACCTAACCATCTGAACTCGAGTCTTGTTTTTCCTCTTACCAGGCAACTGTATGGCCTTTAGCAAGTCACTTAACATCTCAATCTGTCTCTTCATCTGAAACTGAGCAGTATCATGAATATTACTAAAAACTATTTCCAATAATTTGGCATATTTTAATGCAGTAGTTAGCGTATTTCATGGTTGGGGTTAGCCTGTTTCCTCTTGTTTTTCTAGTTCTAGAAATGCCATGGTTTGATGTTAGAGTTAAAATACATATCATACAAAGCAAATAATTTACATTTCTTTGTGTAAGTATTACAAGATGTTTCTCATTTTAAAAACATGACTTTGTTAATTTCCCAAGTGTTCCAGGTAAGCATTTCAAGTGGGAAAACTAGGCTATAAACCTGTTAAATATTTCATTGTTGACTGACATTCAAAAAGTCCTACACCAAGGCAGTGAAAGAAATAGGAGGACCTAGGACTAGACCCCCACTCATGAGTTTTCATCATTTAGGACGTGCGTCCTCCTTGTATTCTTCATATTAATGAGTGCAAGTCTTGATACTAAGGGCCAAAAACATCATGCCAGTAATCTACAGTTAAGCTCTTTTCAGCTCTGTAGAAATCTCCCTTTTGGCTTGTGCGTGGAACTTGGCAGCTCTGTTTTTAGAACTGTTCGAATTTGGCTTACTGCATCCCTCAGAAGCGGCATATGAGCACTTTATCAGTTTATTCGATATTTTAAGATGCATATCAGCATTGTGTACTAGCAGTTGGGAGAGATAATAAATACTTTCCACTCCCCACTCCCAGTCCACTGACTATATTTGAGTAATCTGAGAAGGACAAATAAATAAAATTTAAGATTTGGAGAGAAGAAAACAAGGACCCAAATAATCTACACACAAAGTATTATAAGTAGGGATGGAGATGGAGATTGAAAAGTAGTCTGGGGCAAGAATGCCAGGCCTCAAGCATTAGATGTTAGTCCAGCTAGTCATAGACATATTATGACTCTCTTCTGTCTACTTAAAGGTTCAGCAAGTCTAGCGATCATAATGTCACCAGCTGTTTCCTTCTTTCTGGTCTCTTCTCCATGTGCTCAGACACCATTGTAGTGTTCGTAGATCAACATAATCCTACCTACATTCTCCTGTCTCAGGTTCTGATCATAGCATATTTATCAAGCACCTATCCCTGCACTTTCCTTGCTGGCCACAGTTCTGGCATGAGCACAAGCCACATTTATTTGTTTTTTCAGTACTGCTCATTGGAAAATTCAAATCTTCACAGGCATTTTGCTCTTGCCTTCTTTCTTGAATAGTAGTGCAGATGCTCAGACCTGTGGTGAGTCAGTTTTCAGATGTAAATTAAAACAAATTTTTGGAAAGCTCCTGGAAAACAGTGCTTACACAGGTATCGTCTAATCAGAAGTCAGTTGCTGATTGAGTTAAACATTAGCAAAAGATTAGTGAAAAGCTCTAATCAAATCAGTTTTTTTTTTTTTTTTTAACAGAATCTTGCTCTGTCGCCCAGGCTGGAGTGCAGTAGCTCAATCTCGGCTCACTGCAAGCTCCACCTCCCAGGTTCACGCCATTCTCCTGCCTCAACCTCCCGAGGTAGCTGGGACTACAGGCGCCCGCCACCACGCCTGGCTAATTTTTTGTATTTTTAGTAGAGACAGGGTTTCACCGTGTGAGCCAGGATGGTCTCGATCTTCTGACCTCATGATCTGCCTGCCTTGGCCTCCCAAAGTGCTGGGATTACAGGCGTAAGCCATCAAAACAGTTTTTAAAATATAATCACATACATAGACTGAGTCTGGGAGACAATAATGTAACTGTGGAAAAGAATTACTATATAGAGGACTTGCAGAATGTCTAGATTATATATTGTAGAAATTAAGATAAAGAATATTTTTAAAATATGTGCTAAAGCAATCTGTTAGTAATTATGGTCATCTTAATATGACTGTCATCCCATTTGGGTTTACTATTTGGAAAAAAGTTGATCATAATTACCAAAACATTATTTTAAGTTGTTAATAATATATAAAAAAATAAAACTCATAAAATTAGGCTTTCATTTCAAAGAACATTGACATTTAAATTTGTTATGACACTTAAGCTATTATTATATAACGACAAAGAGCAAAAGTTAAATAGATGGTTAGGAATAAGGAAGTTTAGATATTGTAAGGAAATAGAGTAAAATAATAAATTTCAGGTTTTAATCAATCGGATTATCAACATGTTGAGAGGTGTTTTCTTTTGCATAAATTCTTGAGTTGAAGTTTATTTATGATAGGGTTTTAGGTTTGTTATCATATATATTTAAACTTTCCTACCCATCTCACTGTATTATTGGTTTATTTTGTATGTATTCTGAACTCACAGAACATCAAAGATTCAAATATATTAGATAAAAGTAAAACATAGAGAAGAGTTTTTACATGCATCTGTAAGTATGATTTTCCTTTCTTAGTTTCTGGCATAGGTGAGCATATAAAGATAATAATCTTGATCATTATATTGTTTATAATTAAACAATGAAGCACATCAGTAGTAGTAATCATGAGATAATCACATCCCTGGTGTAATTAGCAGGCATAGGACAAAGCCAAGTGTCATTAATGCCTTAGAGTATGATTATATTATGATGACTATACTCTGTAGGTTGCCTTAATTTTCACTGTAATATATATACTTTTTTAATAATGAGGTTCTTTTAAAAATGAACTTTTCTCTTTATGGAATATCTATTAATAGACATACTTTGGAATAGTCAGTAAAGTTTACTTACAATTCAGTAGTTGTTTAAATTTTTCTCTGTGTTCCATAATTTTGTTTCTCTCTAGACCATATCCATATCAATATACAATAGTCTAAAGAGGTATAAAAATAAATAAGTAAATCAGTGTCTTATCTGAATATTTAGAAATTTACAAGGACTAGAATTCAATAAAAATTCAATTAAATTCAATTTAAAAAACAACTAAGAGTTAATTCATTTATTTGGCATTTTGGCCATATACTTCCACTCCTAACACAGATAGACATTACCTGTTTTTGAATAGCTTGAAATTAAACTGTATTTTAATTTTTTCCATCAAGTCATATGGGCTACATACTAAAAATAATATTAAGTAGTATTAATATGTTTGTTGCTATATCTTTGTTGTGCTACTTGTGCAGTCACTTTGTTGGAATTGCCTGATCAATTTAGATGCTTATTTTTGCCCTATCTAAGTCAAATGACTGGTTGGCTAACTTGAAATTGGCTTTGTGAATCTTTCAATGATGCCCTTATGAAGACTCATTGGACACAATTAGAATCATTGAAAATGAAGACAAGTGGTTTCTTTTGCAAATTATTACTTCTGTTCATCATGTCAGAGGGATGCAGTCTCCAGTACTAACTATAGGCTTACATCTGTGTATTTCCCAGTGCAACAATGACTATGTGCCTGTGTGTGGCTCCAATGGGGAGAGCTACCAGAATGAGTGTTACCTGCGACAGGCTGCATGCAAACAGCAGAGTGAGATACTTGTGGTGTCAGAAGGATCATGTGCCACAGGTATGTGTGTGATCTTCTTTGAAACCTTCTGCCTGGATTCCAAATCCAAAAACTATGTCTTTCATTTCTTGTTATGTCATCTCCCAATAAATAATTCAGATTATATGTTGACTAGATAAGCCTGTATTGTTTTGTTCAAAGCATTTATTATTCTTATTCTTTGTCATTTTTACATTTCAAGTCACTTTTGGAAGAAAGAGGGTATCTACCATAAGGACAGTGGTAGATTTAAGGACATATGTTATTAAATGAAATACAGGCAGTTTGAATAAAAGTCACAATTAATTAGATATCTAGATTGACTGCCAACATGCCAAATATGGAGAAACCTGACTATGTATGGATAAAGTTGTATTATTTATTTGTGTGTTTGTTTGTTTTGAACAATAGCATTATCTGCTGGAAGGCAATTTTGCAGATCTGGGCTCTGAAGTTGATGTCTAATCTTAGCTCTACAAAATGGTCTTATTATTTAGTAGATTATATTGACAAATGGGTTTGTAGTAGACATAATTTCTAATGACATGTGTCATTTCTGACTCAATTAACCTGGAATTCTACAAAGTTTTTCAGTCAAGTTTACCAACAATGCTATAAAGGAAGAAAGAAGAAAGAGAGACTTCATATGCTCTATAGCTTTTCAAGCTTTCCTTCTATCTATAGTAGTTGTTAGAGCTTATGCTTTAAAATGGGAAGTGCTTTAAAATGGGCCTGAGTTTTCAAGTTAAGCTTGATATCAAAGTCACATGTATTATAGAGACTTTAAGATGCCATGGTAGTTGTTCTTAATGGCAAATAAGCATCTTTCTGGGAAGTCATAATTCCTGAGAATTTAGATGATATAAGCATATTCAGGAATAATAACAATGACATCAAATATAAACTTTCTTCAAAAATAGGAGCAGAGAATAGCATCATGAAAAGTCTATTTTGTTCAAAAGTCCCTTAGACAACAGGTATTTCTAATCTAGAGTATGATGTTAAAAGTTATGTGCTAAGTGGCTGGGGCAGTGTGGAAAATGAGCAAAGAGAAAAGCCTCGTATTCTTTAAAAGATTGTCTTAAGCGTATTGATTGTTAGTAAAGTTATACTGGTGACTACCCAAGTTTCTGAGAATTAGCAGAAGAAAGAGAATAGTATCATATCTCATGGCCAATGATATTTTGTTTTGGTTTTGGTTTCTAGCAGTCTTTTCTCCTAAGGGATTATTTGCTTAGATGTGAATGTTCTTCATGAAAGGATGGTCAGGAGGCAAGCTGAGCTGGTACTGCATTTGCTTATTTGCTAAAGCAAGCAGGTCATTGCTGCTTGGTCTGTGAATGACAAGTCATGAATAAAAGGTACAGCAATATGTGAGAGTCAATGGGCAGCCTTCTCTGGTAGGAAAGGAGGATGAGCAGCATGCTGTTCTTATGCTAAGGATGAGGGATATAGAAAGTATGACAAGGAGCAAACGAATTATGAGGAATCAATCAGCCATACCAAAGAAATGAGAAATAATACTTTAGGACAAACTGAATAGAAAAAAAGTAGAATCCCAGGAACCAGGAAGGATGAAGGCAAATACCATAGAGTATTGAGGAAAGGATTTGCTTTTTCAAGATCATCGAGAATATCTGTTCTTTTCTAACAATAACCACATGAGAATTGGCAGGCAATTATTATAATAAACAGATAAGAAGTTACGGTTATGGCCGATGTAGCAAAATCTTTCTTTCTTACTTGCCAACCTCCAAGTTCTTGTCAGCGCATATAATCACATTCTCCTGAATCATTCAAGTCTTTCCATTCTAGTCCCTGATGTGCTGGTTATACTATGAAAATAAATACTTAGCCAAGTAGAAAATTTAATCACAATCGAGTAATCCATCTTTAGCTCATTCACATACTTAGATTTCTACAAGATTTAACTAGTAAGCCAGTCTTGCTGAATGCATCTTCCATGGACTTGTAAATCTAAAAGGTTTTTGATCTGAATAATGACGGAGAGAACAAAGTAATTTTCATTAACCAGATCTGACTGTAAATAAATTGGGGTTCTGACTTTTGATCTAAAAGGGATTCTCATTCTTTTCTTTGTATATTTCCCATTTATTTTTTAATGCTGTTTGACACTGAATGAAAGTGGCAAGTTGTAAGCTCTAGGAATAATAGGCAGTAGAAGATACAACTTTGTATTTATTATATTTCATTGAACTTTATTTTTTTGTCCAGAGAATGGATTCTTATTGGGAAATCTGCTCAATGGTCTTACTGTCAATTTAACTTTTTGCCTTGTAAGAAATGTGTTAACTAGGAACTCAGATTTAGGTCTAACAGCATGACTTATTTTCTTAGGTGTTTCTGTCTCATTAATAAGACTTTAGTAGGCTACTTATCATCAGTTGGCCAAGATGACTCATCATATAATAGAGAAAACATTAAAGCTTCCCGTTACGATTTCATAATGATGCCACCAACTTAAGTGATCATTTTTCTAATCTATTCCTTCTTTTCTTCCCTGGCTGTTTCATTTGTGTTAAATCAAATATTGTCTTAAGAACCATGCCCCTTGAAGTTTTAGAAATGCATGTGGGAAATACAAGATAAAATACTATCGGCATTTTTTTCTGATTTTTCCCAATCATATGTATTTATTAGAATACCCGTAGATGAATAGGCAAGATGTTTACTCTACATTTTAATTATTATGTTCCAGACAGTGCTTAAGCATTTAAAATATACTACTGTGCAGTAAGCCTCAAAATAGCCCAATTGGATAGATATTACTATACCCATTGAATAGAGGAGGAATATGCTTAGCAAGGTTGAATAACATTTCTCTATCATGCAATGAGTAAGGTTTGGAGCTTGGAACTCCTAAGCCTTTATGCATTTCTGCTTATGTTCATATAAGTGTAGAGTGATAAACAACACATTTTCCTTGACTGAAAGAAGTTTATAGGGGAAAATTTAAAATAAACTATATACATTTAACTAAAATATATTTAGAATGTGTTATCACTATAATATCACAACCTGCTATTTAGCCCTGAATGAGTATAATACTGAATTAAGCTTTCAAATTAATGCAAATACAATCAATTAAAATTTTTGTCTGTGAAAGTATATAAAAAGGAAACTTGACAAACATTAAGCACTCAAGCACTGTTCTGTCCAAAAGAGATGATGTTGTGACTTATAACAGTCAGTTCAGTTGGTAGGAATATTCTAATATCAGCATGAATTCATCAGTCTTTCTTGATCTATTATCATTAAACAGTCAATTCTTATGATTAAAATCCTTGTTTGATTCTACATTTACTAAGAATAAATTTTATCATAAATTATTTTACCAATTTACTTGCCTTTAAGGAAAAGATATGCTGCCCCAAAGTCATATGTCTTGTCACATTAATAGTTAATTGATTACTTGACATTCTAATAGTCAAGTAGTGCTAGACTGTATAAATTTAGTTAATGTGGGTCTCCAACAAGACTGACAATTCAAACTACTGCTCCTTCATGGTACTGCTAATGCCAATACATGATAAAAAGGAGGGCTGCTGGGAAGGCCTTCCTTCTTCAATATATGTCAGCCTTCTGTGGATTTTCATATACCATGCCTCTTTCTATGTGGTGCTTCTCAATAAAGTATCATGCAAGCAAACAAGTAAAAGTCATGTTTTATTTTAATTGGACTAAAACCGTAAATTCTTAAGAGTGGCATTTGGTATAAGTCTTGAACCCTGGGTAAGATTTCACTGTGGGATAAGGGCACATCAGGCAAAGAATATCAATATTAGTCTTATTTCCCTGTATTAACATTAAAATACATAACCAAATGTATTGTGGACGAACAAAAATGGAAAGGCAGAAGGAATATGATATCTATACTTAAGAAGTAGAAGCAGATGGAACCTCAGTGGTTTTGATTTCAACTTGAAATTTTGCATGTTTCTTGGAACTACTTTCCCAGAAATAAACAGCGTTGACCAATTGTAATTAATGGGAGGAAGGGGAGAGAAGAAATAGTGAAAGAAAAGTCCAGAAGAGGAGGTATGATTTTTTTCTGCAAGAATCATTTAGTGAATATCGGACTTCAAGCACAAAGGCAAAAATCAAGCTCTCTTCTACTGATGTCAAAAACAAAGGATGATTTGTCACAGATGGAGTCATCCACAATTGTGGTATTCGTAAAACTTATCAACACCCATATAAAAATATTTCTTTTTAAACTGCTTTTCTCTTTGTTCATATGCAATTTGCAAGAATATAAGCCTTAATTATGGGTTTATTTGCCACAGACATTAGACTATTTAATTTCTGAAACTTACTGATTGTTACAAGCATCTCATTTTTAATACTTTATTTTGCTAAGGGCACCAAATCCAGCCTGTCAAGATTAGGAATTTTTCATAGTCGAGATTAGGAAATTTTCCAAACTGGGCAATAATGTTTTCATAAAGCTTTGGAATAAAAATGATGGATAATTTATTTTAGAAGTTACATTAATAGATATTAAATTAAATTGATGTGAATGTATATTTTTGGATTAAATATTAGTATTTTTCTCAAACAATATTATTGCAGTATTAAACTAAGAAAGTAAACTTGAGCTTAAAAAGTCATAAGTATTTTTGAATGTGTTTTACTAGCAAATATAATTTTTCCCCCCACAGATGCAGGATCAGGATCTGGAGATGGAGGTAGGAATTGCCTTTTTACATATTTGAAGATTTACTGGTGGATATTATTATGTATATTTACTTATATATATTCCATTTCAGATATTTAAGGAAAATTCATATTTTGCATTTTAGGAAAGATGAAAACATAAAAAATTGTCTCCATATAAAGTACATGTATATGCCATGCAAATTATTTGGCATACTTATGAATCATACTCTATCTCTAGTTAATCTTCTTTGTTCATTTGTTTGTTTGTTTGTAAGTTATTTTTGGTGTGGATAGGCATAATGTTAAAACTTCTGAAGAGAAGCATGCAAGCATATTTGGCAGGGAAGAAAGAATTCATGAGGAAATAATTTAAATATTGGATTTTTAAATATAAGACACTGCTCTCAATAACTAGGTGCTATTAAGACATACATAACCTACCATATAGATAAGGTTTTAATTATCAGATTTATAATTTGAAACTGAAGGAACTTTAGTTCATAAAAATGAAAAAGATAAAATTAAGTCCAATGAAAGTATAATATTATCTTTGCTTCCTTGATTAAATCTATAGTTATTTTTACTAAAGTATGATATATGTTCCCATTATTTAGTTTTGTTTAGGGAAGTATATAAGAAAGAGAGAGAGAGGAACTTTAAAAGTTTGATCTAATGTATTTACTACCAAATGAAGATTTTACCTGTAGATTGAAACTAAATTGTAAATGTCCCAAATACTTTTGACAATGAAATTCAAGCAAAATTAGACTTTTATACACACAAAGCGAAACAAAATACAACCTATGTATAATTTCAAGATTAAGAAAAACAAAACAAATGAAAAACATTCTCTCAAGACCTTGCTTCAGTTGTGTAAAATAATTAAATGTGCTATTCCAAGTTGATTTCAGTTTTTAAATACAGAATTTGATAAAAGATAAGTAAAAGAAGGCCTTGGGTGCAGGGTGGCAGATATTTAATGCACCCTTTATCTAGTTCAGGAAACACTTGAAAGATTTATCAAGTTTCCTTATGTAATGAAAGGCTTAACTAGTTCAAATAAGCAATACCCACAGAACATAATTAGAGCAGCATATTGGAGCACAATTTTTTCCATAAAGACTAAAACTGAACAGCAGCAGATTGAAGCACAATTTTTTTCCTAAAGACTAAAACTGTACAACAGTCAAGACTCAAGCATAGAATATGTTTCAATGTCACATGATGTTGGACAGTCCTTTGATGTCTGGACAGTCTTTCTCTACTTCTAATAAAGTTTTTCTTAGCTGATTAATATAGTATTCCCAAGAAAGTTTCCCTAGAGGTTTTGAAAATAAGACCTTAGAAGGACATATTAAATCTTAAAAAAAAAAGACAGAGAAAAAAGGCAGTTCCTTTAGTATATGTTTTACCATGAGAATATTATTAATAAGAAATCAATTTTTTAAAATGTTTCTTTTGTAAGGAAATAGTTTCTATGCAAAATTGTGTATGTTTTCTAGCTGTTTAGTTTTATATGTAGACTACCTAATTTTGCAAATGTTGTGCTGAGACTGAACTGTTCCACTGTTTACCCACCAGTCTTGTTAATTTTCTAGCATCTTTAAAGACAAAAAAAGAAAAAAAATCATACCAAGAATGTCTTCATTTCTCTTTCTGTTAAAGCATCATCACATGCGTTTTTCTGCTTGACTATCCTATCATACTATACATCATATCTTTATTTTTCTAACAATAAGATGTGAGTTTTGTTTCACATACTAGTTTCTAGTTTTCATTCATTGTTATTAGCATATGCAAGTGAAAGTGAAGTCAAACTCACTCTTCCTTGTTGCATTTTATATTAAAATCGTTGGTTCATTATGTTGTCTCGTGATCTGAATCAGACATTTTTTTCAGGAAATAATGTTAATCTCATGAATATGACATGTATAACTTATTTTATACCATATGAGTGAAACATCACTTAGAAACCACTTTTTTATTTTCCTTGTCTTTTTCTGTTTTTAATCACTCTTCCTTTCAATTGTAGGTGCTTTATAGTAACTTGGAGAAAACAAAAACAACTTCCAATGTTTGCTTTAGAAAAAAAAGCATATAATACATTTAATTCTGAGCTTATTATTTTAAATAATGGCAGTTCTGAAAATTGTGGTGATGAGTATTTGCTCCTAATTGCATACAATGTTTAAAATTAGAGACTGGTCAGGTTTTTCTTAACAGAACTACTTGTTTTTCTAGTCTACATGTTACTTTGCTCTGTAAGACTATTAGTTTTAATTTTCTTTAAATTCTTTATTAAGGGATGCCAAAAACACTTAGTAACTAAAACCTAAAAACCTAGTTTAGAATGACATGCACAAATTCAGTTCATATATCCATTGGGTTGTAATCGTAAGATATATGTGACTTGCTATCTCTCTTACATAGATGATAGACTTTCCCCTGTATTTTTGTAGAGTTCGTATTACCAAGGTATTGAGAGGCCAGAATCAGCTTTCTTTATTTTTGAATAAAGCAAAAGTGATTGAATAACTTGTGATTGTTTGGCTAATCCAACAATTGTAACTAGTGATTGTTCTAACTAATCTCTATATAACATATTCTCAGTAATGTGTATTTAATTAATAATGGGTTTACTTGGCAAGCACTTTGGATGGTTAATAGTTATTTTCTAATCTCTTATTTTAGCAAAAGTTAACAGAATTCCAAAGTGGAGTACATTGAACGAAAGGGTGAAGTGAAGAAATTTACTTGCAAAACATTTATCATGTGTGACTATCATAAATGATACCATTAAACCCACAAATCTAAAATCATGTAAAAATATATCAACTATTACTTTTGAAAGATTGTCCTATATTTTAACATGAATGAATATTACAGTAGTAATGAATATTAGACCTGATTATTCTAAAAATAATTTAAGCTTAACCCATTTGCACAAGGGTATACCTGTCATTTACTGCATTTGAGAGAACTTTTTACTACAACATGAAAGGGACATAGAGGTTTTATAAAATTTATTTTAACTTGTTATTGTACATTTTACAGGGAGTTCTAAAATCTTTAACTATTGACCTATTTACTCAGCTGAAACAATTCAAATGGTTAACTGTATTGAGATAAAACATGTTTACTGTGTTTCCAACATGATCCACACAGATGCATTCTCTCCTAAAGGTGATTTGTAGAGTAATAAGATACAAATGCTTCATACAAATCTTAGTGTTTGGCTGTCCCATTTCAGTGACTGTATCCTCTTCTTTTGGTGTTTAAGAAAACTCATTAATACAAAAGATAATTTTGTATTATTAGTTTTGAACATAGGACCCGCCATTTATGGAACTCTGTTTTTGAACATAAATGTTTGTTTTGAAAGGCATCTACATCAAATAAATTTTTTGGATAGATTCACACCTGATAAAAAAAATTAAAGATAAACTCTAACTGTGAAGTGTGCTATTGGGAGGTAATATGTGGTCCAAATTCCAAAGAATTGGAGAAAGTGATAGAAAGAAAATGATTGGTGTTTCAAGTACTTATATATGGAAGTTTAATGTTGTAAATAAGAAAACGGGTGTGTGTAGGAGGGATAATAACTTCTTATCCACCCACAGACTTCCTTAAGCAACAAATACTGCAGGAAGAAAAAGTATTAGAGGTGCCTCCTCTCAAAATTCAGAGGTGTGTGGGTGGTTAAAGAATAATTTTTAACCCCTGCTTTTCTCTCTAGGTCTTTCAGTCATATTATAAAGACAATGCTATGAATATTTTCCATTACTCTTTTTTTTTTTAAGTATTTTTGTGTTGTTTAGATCTTTGTTAGATTCGGAAAGATAAATAAGTCTGATGAAATTAAAACCATATTTTAACTATCAAAATAATTATAAATGTATTATCCTGCTGTACATGTGGCAGAATCCACAGTTAAATTTTAATATCATCTTAAAGGAAGTTGTGTGATAATGTTTATAGAAATAAAATGTATCTAAGATACACAGCATAGATACAATAAGTATATTTTTATTTCATGAGATAAAAGGAAGCACAGGACTTATTTATACAATTTATATATTTGTAAACAATTTTAAGATAATTCTTTAATAGGTTATTGTTGGATATGTACAACAACAAGTCAAATTAAACTTATGTCTATTGTTTGTATAAAAAAGCCTTGCTTTTCTATGAATTATCCAGATGTTGTTATGATGACTTTGGTGTAGAAAATCAGTTGACATATGGTTTTTATTTAATGAAAAAAATTCAAGTACAAATTATTTTCATATAACATTACTAAATATGTCCATAATTAAGACATTTGCTTCATATACATATTGGATAGAACAAGAAAGGTTTACATGGCAACACATTGTAGAACTTGGGCTGCTATTTCTGATTATGTGAACTGCTAAAAACTGGCAAAAATATTTTAAGAACTTCGAAACTTGGAGATAATTTTTTAAAAATCCTTGTCTTTCTAATGTGGATTTTATAATATTTAGTAATTTGGTTGACTTGAATGAGGCTAATACTATAACCTAGGTATTGTTGCAAGATTTCTGGGGCTGTAAAGATGAATATGACACAGTTCTTTACACTCAAGGAGATTACATGTAAATTCTCTTCAGAGCATACAATGGAAAAAATTATTATTCTAATTATGAAAAGAAAAATATTCCCCTGCAGAAATAAAATATAAAATATATTGTAAATAGCAAGGAAGTGAATATTTATTCCATAAAACATACTTGTAAAAGGCTAATTTTCCCTTCCATGTTGCTGTACTAATTCCCTCTCTAACCAGCATACCCTTTCCATTTCTCCACTGTCATGGTCAAATTCTGGCAAACACAACATTTCACATCATTGTTGTATGTTTTGTTCCTCCTCACCTCAGCCCCCCGTGCTTGGGCTCACATTACAGCCAAAGTCTGACAGGTGTCAATTGTAAGCAACTTCTGCCGAAATACTAATTTAATAAAGAAATGCTACCAAGCATGACATGTCTGAGATTCTGCCCAGGAAA